ACAAGCAGGGGGAGTGGGAGAGGGAGAAGCAGGCTTCCTGCCGGGCAGGGAGCCTGATGTGGGGCTCGATCCCAGGACCCTGGGATCATGACCCGAGCTGAAGGCAGACGCTTAATGACTGAGCCACCCAGGCGCCCCTGGAACAATTTTTAAAGAGTTTTAAAAATCAGAAATGAACTTTTAGTTCAGGAGAAATTTTCCAGCTCTTACAGAAAGTTTAGATATGTCTGTCTTGTTTTCTTTTGTGAAATTGCTCTCTTCTCTGATATCATGTTCTTGTGATTTGTTGCATCAACTGAAGCTTCCGCCAGTGTTGTGAGGATGCATATCTGATTTTACGACGGCACGGGAATCTCTTCATCACTCTTTTTGCACTGATGTTGACTGCAGGGCTTCCTGAGCTCACATCAGTCAAGGATATACAGTATCTTAAGGTACAAACCCCTTTTCTTTGTATATTGGACTTTGTAGGCATGAAGCTCAGCTATACCTACCTATTTCATTCAGATGTTCAAAGGGAATGGAACAAAGCCATTTCCTGTTAGACTATTCTTACCCAGGAGTGGTAGTGACAAGCAGCTGAGTAATTGTCTTGCAGTAATCATAAATTTCATCTTCAAAAACCCTTTGGCAGAGATTATATTATCACCCTACCTTTTGTCATTTTCTATCCTGCAAAAGGCATTTAAATAAGAACACGAGACACACAGCTTAATGGTGGCTGGGGAGGCATGGCTGAGATTTTGACATTTGCATGTCACTGTGGAGGATATATAAAATCAGATTTTTTTCCCTTTCATTTTTAGGACTCTCTTGCCTTAGGGAAGAGTGAAGAAGAAGCACTCAAGCAATTTAAGCAAAAATTTGATGAGGCACTCAGGGAAAGCTGGACTACTAAAGTGAACTGGATGGCCCACACAGTTCGGAAAGACTACAGATCTTAATGATCAGCCTTTGCTCCTAATGTATTTGTTGGTTTTGTTTAGTTGTCAGTTTGCACTTGCACTAAATTGAACATGACCCTGCCAGAGATGTTATAAAGGGAATGAAATCCTGGAACTCAGTTAAATTAAGAACAAGGCATCCCACAGAACCTAATCTGAACAATCCCCGATGACCACCCTCTGCTTTATTGAATGCTTCCAAGATTCATCATGAAAACTCCCAACATAATGGATAATCATTTCCTGCTGACTTTGCACGCCGAAGAATGCTACTAGAGATTATTTTCTGTCTTCTTCTTCTTCTTCTTTTTTTTTAAGTATTTGGTACTTTTCCAGAAAGGTGTAAATACTTCTTTTTGTATTGTGACCAAGTGTTATCACTCAGCCAACTTATCCACACCTGGGGACTGGTAGTTGTTCTTACTTTCCAAATGAGGCTTAAAAGAAAGGTATCTTTCTTCCCTTTTTAAATTACATCAACTATAAATTATAACATAATTTGAAATTATGGTTATTTTTCAAAGGAAATCTTGAAAGCTGTGGAAAGATTAACTCTTTTGTTGATATTTATCTACTATGACAGCATCATTCCTACCAGACTTGGTGAAAATCTACTCGTGAGGCAAATATAATATATATGCTGCATATATATTTATAAAATTTCTAGTGGGAGTTCTATATAAAAAGACATTTCTTTGTTTTTTTCCGTCTGTGTTTTTAAGTTTTACAAAAAGCAGAGCTTTTCCCTAAGTTACTTTTTTAGTTAACTATATGAGATCCAGTTCTTCCAGTTGCTTCTGTAGTGAGGCACATAGTAATTTCAGTTTTTACATGGTATCTATGAAAGAGTTCACTTCATAGAGCATAATACTTGAGCAAACGCATCCAAGACAGAAAGCAAATGAAAAGAAACTATTTATGGAATCCTCTCCAGACCTAAAATTCAGTATTTTAGTAAAATGCCAGCTGTTCTTACTGTATTTATTAAAACTTATAATAATGTGATTTTTTTCAAGGATATTAGTTCAGATTGAAATGGTTTCATGCCACATGGAATTCTTTAATTTATTTGTTGAGGTACCATACATTTAGGGTGCTAGATGGCCAATAATGTTAACATGTGCAATAAGAACTACTGGTTTGAATGTGTAAATGGATGCTCTTTCTGAGTACTGGCAATATCCAGCAAAACTACTGCTTTTTCTCCAAAGACTTTTGGGAGCTCTCAATCCTCAGTGACATGAGAAAGAGAACCGAGTATTTACCCTGTGACTGAGTTTTCTATAGGAATTTTATTAAAGATTGTTTAATTTTGTTGTTTTCCTTCATGTTCTCAGTCAAATAAATGGGTGAGCTGGTTTCAGCTGCTCTTGGGACGTGTGGGCTGCTTCTTTGTGGACAGCACAGGCCTTTAGATCTCAGCACTGAGACTCTAAGAAATGGTCAATAAATAAATCAATCTGAGAAGTAGGCTGAGGCTCATAGTCTCTTCTCTGACTTCTCTCTCTGCTTCCCAGCCCCAGCAGGCAGTGTGGGAGGCCTCTTGGACTTCGGTCGGAGCCTGAAGCTCATCAAGTTTTCATATCTTTTCGAGGTACCCTGAGACTGGGGAGAATGCCCCTTCAGTGACTCAATACCCAAGCCGAGGCCAGACTATAGCCACTTTGTAGCTCTCTTCCATGGGGCAGATGTTCAGAACAAGTCATAGTTTCTTAGAAAATAAGTCAGCTAAGGATGGAGATTGACCTCTGAACTGACCATTCCCAGGGCTGGTCCAGACTCAGTGAGAATTCTAGGAATAGGACTCTGGAAGGATAGATTTGTTCAAGGATCTTTGTCCAATAGCAGTCTACCTTTACATGCACTAGGTCTCGCAGGTCAGGGGTTTGGAGACTGGTGAACATTGCCAGCACCACTATTTCTAGAGGAGTCTCCTCAGCCCCTAGGGAGCCTTGGTAAATATATGCCAAGTCAGTGAATGTGAATGTCAAGAGTAAGAAAGGGAAATGAACCTCCCTGGATAGTCCTGGGCCTGAGCCCAGGATGGCCCTGTACTCCTCTCCACGGTCTCTGCCATAAGCCCCTCAAAGATAACTAGGACACTGTGACACAGTAGGCCTCTGTAGCTGCTGACCACTCCTAACAGGTGCTCCTTACATACTTACTGAATTGCATATTTCTGATTCTCAGGTTCTGGCAGAGCCAGAGAAGAGGAGGTAGAAGGCAGAGGAAAGCAGTCTAAAGGTCTGGGCTGCAGGATGAGCTTGTTGCATGGGGGCTGGTTATCTAGTACCTTGGCTGTTAAGTGCTCTGGTCAACAATAAATCTTAGCCCAAAACACTTGGCTCCTTGTCTTTTGGTCCTTTCCCAAGTTTATCCAAAACAGTGTTTTGGAAACCCTATGCATTTCCATACTTGAGGGCAGCCTCTGTGTCTGCCTGGGTCTGGGTAGACAAAGGATGCCTTTGTTGAACAAGTAATTCCTGAGTATTAACCTCATATGTCTATAGGCAGACACTGGGCTGCAGAGACGAGTATTTGCAATCCAGTTCTTCCTCTGTGACCCGTGAGTAAGATATTTTATTTCTCAGGGTCTGAGCATCCTAGTTTGTAAAGTGGGACTGATAATAACTGCCCTACTCATTTCTGTGTGGTGGGGAGAGGCTAGGTTAAGACCTTGAATGAGAACATAGGCTGAGTCCCAGTTCAGAGGCAAACTCCTTCCTTTCCCTGCTTCCCCCACTTGAAAGCCACTAAAAGGAATCTCAGGGAAGGAAAGCCCCTTCCAGAGCTCTATCCCTACCTCCTGTCTGAGAAGGTCTGCAGTGTCTTCTCAGTTCTGCCTTGTCCAGCCCATAGCCCTATTAGCACCAGACCAGTCAGGCACCCTGTAATGCAGAGGTCACTTGTGTACAGAAGGTAAAAGACTGGTCCATGGGGTGGAGAGCAGAGAGGGACCATGCCATGTGACCCTGACTGTTGGGAATGGGCAGCTTTTCAAAAAGGAGGGGGCAAGTGCTAGGGTTTCTTGGAGCAGAGGGCCTCTGGGCTGAGTCTTCAAGGACAGATAGAAGCTAGGTGAAGGGGTGATAGGTAAGACTAAGGAAGGTACAGCATGTTAGAAAGGCTTGGAGGGGAGGAAAAACGGGGCCCATGGGCACTAACAGGCTCAACAGTTATTTCTTTGCCTCTGCCTCTTCCCCTTCCTCCACTCCAGAATGCTGCACTTCTCAGGGATCCAGACAGGATCTAAACTTTAGTCATGTCATCCTGGAGCCTCTTCCTCTCTCACTGCGGCAGTTTTATCCCCTTGTCTGATGATGGAAAAAGTGTCTGACATCACCTTCTGGGCTATTCCTGCTCTAAAATGTGTAACTAATGTATTTTTGGAACTCAGGGTTCCTTTCCACTCTGAGTAAAGCCTGGGTTCAACACTCAGAAAAGTCTGCCCTTTGAAACTCCCAACTTTTTTATATTGTGAGAAATGGCACATAAAGTATATAAAACAATAAGGCATATAAACAGGCTTAGCAAATACTCTAGAGCAGACATGCAGAAAACCATCGCATAGGTCCAGAAGGAACATTGCCAACACTTCAGAAGCCCCACCAGTTCCCCTTTCTGGTCAGGACTCCCTCCTCTCTGCCAGCGTAATCACTGTCTCTTCTTTGATGGCAATCATCTTATTTCCTTACTTTACAGTTATGGGTCAGGCTTCTTTTGCTCAACATTATGTCTTTAAAAGATTCAGCCATGTGGTGGCATCATTATCATCACCACACAATATTCTGTCTTACGGAGATCCTATGATTTATGTATCCTTTCTACTGTTGGAACACATACATGTAGTTTCTAGTTTTGAGGCTATTACAAATAAATGCTGCTATGATGATTATAATTTATCTGCTGATTCACAGATGTATATATTTCCTTGGATGTATATACTTAAGATTAAAATTAATTGGTCATAGGATTATGCATATCTTTATTTTGACTAAGTAATGCTAAAATAAGTGGTTGTGCCAACTTACTCTTCCTCCAATACTTAACTCTTGTCACTCCATATTTTCACCAGTACCCAGTTAGCCAACATTTTAAAAACTTTAGTCATTCTGATGTGTGAGGTGAAAAAATTTGCATTTTTTAATTAGTAATGAGATTAAATTGCCTTTTCATGTTTTTGTTCATTTCAGTTTTCTGCTTTGTGACGTGCCTTCTTAAGTCCTTTGTCCATGTATTTATTTGGATACCTGCCATTTGGGTTTTTTTGTTCTGAGGAGGGTTTTGTTTTTAATACTGCTTTTTGTTTTTTGTTATGTGAAATTATGTATTGTGTGTACAAGCCTTTTGTCAGTCACGTGTTGAAAATATCTTTTCCACCCAGTGTGTGACTTTCTCATTCTCATAACACACGGTCTTAATTTTAATGTGAAATTTATCATTTTCTTTTATGGTTAATATCCCTTGTGTAGTATTTAAGATATTTTTCTCTACCCTAAGGTCATGAAGATACTCTCCTGGATTATTCTCTAAAAGCTCCTTTTAAAAAAAAACCTATTCCATTTAGATCTGTAATGTACCTGGAATTGCTTTTTATAAATAGTGTGAAGTGTTTTTTCCTATATGGGCATCAAATTGTCCTAGTATCTTTTATTGGGATCCTTTGACCACTGTTCTATAGACCCACCTTTGTCATAAACCAGGTGTCCATATACACAGGAGTCTGCTTCTGGACTCTAGAAGATATCCAATAGATTTTACCTCCCTATTTTTATTTTTTAAGTTAATTTATCATATTCATACATAGCGTTTGGTGTGTACTAGGAATGCATCTAAACTGTTACATATTTAATCTCTATAGCAACCTTATGTATAGGTGCAAGTGTCCTTCCCCACTTTACAGATGAGAAATCTGAGGCTTAGAAGGTTAAATAATTTGTCCTTAGTCACAAAGTAAGAGGCAGCATTCAAACTCAGGGACTCGGTCTTAAGTGTTAATGCTCTTTCCTCACAATTATCAATGATGCCTCAATACACATTTCAGAATCTGCTTGTTGATCCACAAAAAGAAACCTGTGGAAATTTTTAGTGAAATTGCATAATAGATTAGGTTGAAGCAAATTCACATCTTAAGAATATTGACTCTTCCAATCTATGACAATGGAGTAACCTTCATTTAGATCCTCTTTAATTTATGTGCACAATGATTTATAGTTTTCTGTGTAGAGTCTTGTATATCTTTTGTTAGAATTCTGGGTAAGTGATTTTAAGTTTCATTGTTGCTAATCTATAGCAGTGGTTTTCCAAATATGGTCCCCTAAGTAGGATTATTAGCATCTCCTGGGAACTACAAATTCTTGAGGACCTCCCCTCCCCTCTGCAAGACCTACTGAATCAGAACCACTAGAGATGGAATCCAGCAACCTGTATTTTAATAAAGCTTTAACAAGTTTCAGAGCAATTAATAGATATATAGTTGATGTTTGCATTTGGCAGACATATTAAACATTCTATTAATCCTATTTAAAGAACTTACTTTGATTTTGCATATATGATCTACAAATACAGTTTTATTTCTTCTATTCCATTCCCTTCAACATTCTTTTTCTTGACCTTCTTCCCAGTTTAGGAATTGCAATAAAATGTTGAATAGAAGCAATACTAAATCTTTTATTGATCTCAAAGGGAAAGTTTTCAATATTAAGTATGGTATATGCTCTGGAGTCTGGATCTTTTACCAGATTAAGGATGCATGCTTCAACTCCCAAGGGATTTTTTTTTTTTTTTAAATATGAAAGGATGCTGAGTTTATCAAATTATTTTTCTGCATTTTACTAAGGTTTTTCTCATTTGGTAAGTTTATATCGATTAATGTTCAAATTTTAAACCAAAGTTTACATTCCTGGGATGAGCACAGCTTGATTGTGATGTATTTTTTTAAATATAGTGCAAGATTTGATTTGCCAATATTTCATTTAGGATTTTTGCATCTATTTTTATCAGTGGGATTGGCCCATAAATTTCTTTTAAGATCTGTGTTAGGTTTTGTTACCAAGGTTTTGTGACCTTATAACACAGGTAAGATTGGCATTATTTCTTACTTAAAAATCTGATAGAATTTTGCCATTGACCTTATATCTGATATTTTCTTTGGGGGTATGGATTTCATTAATAGCTAGAGGGATATTAGATTTTTATCTTATTGTGTCCATTTTAAAGAGTTGTAATTTCTAGGAGTGTGTCCATCTACATTTTAAATTTTATTTCTATAAAGCAGTTGATGTGTTAAGAGTTTATTAATGTTGCAGGATTTATATTGATGTCCTCTTTTCTTATTGGTTAGTGCCTTCTCTGTTCTCTTAATTAGTCTCACTAGAGGTTTTTCAATTATATTGGTCTTTGTACTTTTTGGCTTTTTTGATACTCTGTGTTTGTTTTCAACATTCCTTTCATCCCTATTATTTCCTTCCTTCTACTTTATTTGGTCTTTTCCCTCTCCATTGATAGTTGCTTGGCCAATCGATTTTAGCCTTTATAATAACAACCTTTAGCTGCATCCCCTAAGTTTTGAGATGAAGTCTTTTCATCACCATTCAGTAAAAAGTATGTTCTAATCTCCATCTTTCTTTCTGTGTGACTTGCTGATTATTTACAAATATATTTCCAAATACATGTGAATTTTCTCATTACTATTTTGTTGTTGAGTTTTAGATTGCATGACAGAGAACTTATCTGTATGATTTCAATTTCAAATTTGTGAGGCTTGATTTTATGACTCAGTATGGTCAAGTATTATAAATGTTCAGTGTGCATGTGAAAAAGTCCATATACTGCAGTTACTAAGTGTTCCACATACGTTCATTAGATCAATTCTGTTGAATTGTTTATATATCTTTATTGAGTTTTTGCCTAGTATTTATGAGAGATAAGTTAAAATATCCCACTGTGATTTTGGATTTGTGCCTATTTTAGTTTGAGGCAATATTATTAGGTGCTTACAAATTTAGAGTTGATTTATATCCCTGATGAAACATTTAAAAAAATTGTTTTAAAGTGTTCTCTGTGTTTCTGGCAATGCTTTTTGCTTTGATGTCTAATTTAATTGATAGTAATATAGTTATGCCAGCTTTCATTTGGTTAGTGGTTGCATGGTACTTTTTTTTTCTTTAAACCTTTTATAAACCTTATAAATGTTTCTCTTGTAAATAGCATATAGTTTTTTAAAAAAATCCATTTAACACTCCTTACCTGTTAATTTAAGCATTCACATTTACATTTAATGTAGTTGCCAATATATTTGGGGTTAAGTGAACCATCTTACTATGTAGTTTTATTTTTTCTAGCTTTTCTTTGTGTTCCTTTTTCCATGATTTTCTTTCCAGTTCTTTTTTTCTTTCCAGTTTTAATGGAATTCTAAAATATTTTTTCTATTAATTTGGAAATCACACTCTCTTACCATTATTTTATTGATACACTAGGTTACAACTTGCATACTAGACTTATCTTTGTCTAGTGTTACTTGGTACGTTTATCATCTTCCCAGACAATGCAAGTAAATCTTTTTACTTCTCTCCCAACCTAGATGCTATTGTTGTTGGATTTTAATTATAGATCATTATTAAATCCCACAAGAAAGTATTGTTTTATACAGCCACTGTTCATTTAGCTATACAGATGGTCCCGACTTAACAATGGTTTGACTTAAAATTTTCAACTTTACAACAGTGTGAAAATAATACTCATTCAATAGAAACTGTACTTTGAATTTTGAATTTTGCTCTTTTCCTGGGCCGGGGCTAACGTGGTATGATACACTCTTGTGCTGCTGGGCAGTGGCAGCAAGCCATAGCTCTCATTTCAGGCATGCCGTCATGGGGGTAAACAACTGAAAAACTCACAACCATTCTGTACCTATACAATCATTCTGTTTTTTACTTTCAGTACAGTATTGAATAAATCACATGAGACATTCAGCACTTTATTATAAAATAGGCTTTGTGTTAGATGATTTTGCCCAGCTGTAGGCTTTTGTAAGTGTTCTAAACATGTTGAAGGTAGGTTAAGCTATGATGTTCAGTCAGTTTTAAATGCATTTTCAACTTATATTTCCAAATTACAATGGTTTTATTGGGACATAACCCCATCATAAATCAAGGATGATCTGTATATATGTTTTTACCATTCTCATTGCTTTTCATCCTTTTTCGTGCGTTTTCAAGTTTTTATCTGGGATCATTTTTTTCTTAGACCAAAGAAAACCCTTTCATATTTCTTTTAGTTGTTCTACTCTTGATTAATTTCATCAAATTTTTGTTTGCCTGTTAATAAATGGTAGTTTTGCTGGGTATAAAAATTTAGGTTGGTAGTTACTTATTTTAGCACTTTGAAGGGATTTTTCCATTGAAAAATCCATTCTTTTCTACTGAAAAGGTAACATTTTAGTGTGTATTTTTTCTACTAACTGCTTTTAAAGATTTTCTGTTTGTCTTTGGTTTTTAGCAGTTTTACTGTGATATGCCTGGTGTTTTGTTTTGTTTCTATTTTTGTATTCTCCCTGTTTGGTGTCTGCAGAACTTCTTGAATCTATAGCTTGCTACCTTTCATCATTTGGTAAATTATCTTCAAATCTGCCTCTGCATAATTCTCCTTTTGGAACTCCATTTATAATTATTTGACCTTTAACTGTGCAGTCTATATTTATTACTTTCTCCTCTATAATCTCTTTGTATTTTTCTTTTATTTTTTTTAATTTTTTTATTTTATTATTATTTTTTTTAAGATTTTATTTATTTGACAGAGAGCGAGAGCAGGAACACAAGCGGGGGGGTGGGGGTGGGAGAGGGAGAAGCAGGCTTCCTGCTGTGCAGGGAGGCCAATGTGGGGCTTGATCTCAGGACCCTGGGATCATGACCTGAGCCGAAGGCAGATGCTTAACGACTGAGCCACCCAGGCGCCCCATGTTACTTCTTTTTAACAGATGAGAAAATTAAGGCTCAAGGGATTTTAAACAATTTGTCAAAGGTTACAGAATTACTAAGTGAAGGAGCCAGATTCAAATCCAGGTCTTTCAGACTATATACTTGATGTCATTTTTTCATTTTACCAGTCTAAGCAAGAAAGCAGTCATGATAGGACATCTCTAGTACCCTTTGTTTATCAAAGTATTGTTGTGCCCTAAATATGTAACTTTCCATTGATTTTTTTTTTTCTTTAAAGAAGGAGTTTTCTAGTCTTAGATCCTTCCATGCTGTTGAGATATAAAGAGCAATTTGCTTTTGGTATTGTTACTTTTATAGGACTTATAGATGGGATTGAAATAAGGAAGTGAGATTATAGTTTAGATTATCTAAAAAGGACCCTTTGAGCACCATAAGAGACAGAGT